CCCCCGCTATATACGCCTATGAGAATAATACAGCATTTACAAAACAAATGTCCTTCTTACTAATAATATACTAGCTACAGCTTAAACAATCTAAGATAGTAAATTAAAGTTATGAATAAACAAAAACAGTAAAGTTTAAAAAAAGTAAAGTTATGAAAAAACCAGGTAAATATGTTTTGCGACTTATACATCCAAAAACAGCTTTTGTAGTTGGATGTGCCCGCTAATTATATTATTGATTCATTAGTGAAACAATGCTTATGTTATAAACAACATTACATAATTCAGGAGAATACTATAATAATAAAAGTGCCCTTAGGTGACAAATTATCCATTCATTATGTACCGTTATTGTCATGAAAGACAAATGTTACCTCATTATTAAACATATAAAAATTGTTTCACTTTACATATAAAGTTTATATCTAATCAAATTTTCAATATTCATCGTATTCATGTAAATTTATGCACATAATCTATTTTTATGATCGAATTATTACATAATAATTAATGAGATGTCTTCTAATTCTATCTGTTCAGATTAAAATGACCAAAATAACTATTAACATAAAATTAACCTGAATTATGTAATTCCTCATAATACAGATATGACTTTTTTATTCATGTAATTCTACTGAACAAAAGCTGGTATTGTACGCGTATTTATTATTCGTAAATCTCTTGCTTTATGCTTTTTGATGGCTGATGGTTACTCTTTCAATGAATAGACTAACGCCCGGTTTCTGAAACACTGACCATCGTAGAAGTCAACTAATTCAGATCATTAAGAAGATGATCAATTCAGAGAGTTTAACAATCCTTTTGGCAACTCAAATAAGATTTGAAAAGCCATTTGACAGGTGATTAGTTGACTTCTACGATGATCAGTGTTTCAGAAACCAGGCGTAAGTATATAAAGCTTCATTAAGCACAGAGCTCGTGTAAAAGCCAAGGTAGCCTTGATTGATCCTTATTAAACAGAGTCACACATGCAGAGTCCGTTGATAAAAAATTCATTTTTATTAACATATATATTATCGGAATCTATGACAAATTACCTTAGATCTGCTACTTCATTCATGTGTATGTAATAACACAAAAAAATTTTCATCCTTTCCAAATATATTGTATATTAAATTACCTAAAAACAGTCTTCCGCTGTTGCACGAATGGGCAGATCCCTCCGGGTAGGACAGATCCTCACAGAAGGCCGGCGTGAACTGAATGTGTTATAGTTCTGCGTTTGGTCTCGTGAGTAAGGTAGCCAGCACCCACTTTATTAAAATGTGACAACGCATCTGCAAGCCTAAGGATGTTGCAAATGTCAATAGGCGCTAGCCACCTATTAACATAAACAAAAACCACCATTACCACTACCATGAAACAAACACCCTAACTCTTAACTACAAAATATCGTACATCCGCTTTTAGCATTTGCGGACCATAATACTAATTTCTTTTTATATAAAATTTAAAAATACAGCCTACTTTTATACAAATCATTACGTAAAAAAGAAGAAGAAGATAATATTTTCGCAAATTTTTTTTTTCGCTGCTACCATATTTCGAACATGGGCCTGCAAAATACTACACATTTAAAAAAATACAATAAATAAGTAGTAAAGTAAAGTAAAGTGACAGCCTATATATATCCCACAGCTGGGCAAAGGCCTCCTCTGTATGGTATCAGGGCATACACCACAACGCAGCCCCACAGCGGATTGGCGAACTTAATTTTTTTTTATTATTGTTATGATTTGTCCGGGCGCTCGCCTTAAATTCAATATATACTCGAGCAACCTGAGTTCGATCCCCGGTGCCGGCACCAATGAAATTGTTAATTTAAGTGCTGAATTATCACGTGCTCCGCGGTGAAAGAAAATATCTTGAGGAAACCTGCATATTTTCGAAATAATAACAAAAAATGTATTTCGAAAATATATGAAGTCCGCCAATCCGCAGTGGGGCCGCGTGTTGGACTATGCCCTGATATCCTCTGTATAGAGGAGGCCTTTGCCTAGCAGTGGGACATGTATAGGCTGTTACTTTACTTTTTTAAAAATCCCTGGCAACCAAAACTGTTACTGCTAATATTGCCTATTTTAAACCGTTCGTCATTCATTAAATGTTGCACACATTGAATTTTAACAGATTTGTTGATAAAAAAATTAGAGTTCGTAACGTATCTCTCATTACTATACGATACCAAACCTAGCATTGCCATCATCACAACTGTGATTAAAGGGATGGTGTATACCATTGTTATCATGTTACTAACAACGCGGAAGTGTTACCTACCTGGTTGAAGCGTTCCGAATTTAGCATGCGTTGTTAATTGATGTGTAGAGGGAATAGAGTAGTGTGATACTTGTACGCTTAACGTAATGAGCCTAGAGATCTTTGACCAATCCATTATAAAAATATAATTTAAATCGTGACATTTGCATATTTTTGAAGATACTAATTAATATTTCCGACTTTCAGTTGCTAGGAACTTAAAAATTTTGTGTAAATTTTTTAAACATCACTCGAAATGTAACGCATTAATTATAAGCATGTTTTATGTGTAGATGGTTAACATCGAGTAATTAGCGCATACAGTTATGTGATTATTGTTTGTTAAGTAAGCGAAAGAAATTGCTCTTAAATGAAGTTATGAAAAATCTAATATTAAAAAATTCACGTCAGATATTTTTTTTATAATTTATTGCTTTTTGTAACTTTAACTTCAGATACACACCTAATCGGGGTTTTTATAATGAAACGGTTTGTACATTGCTACTTCGAATGATCCAAATTGTTAATGGTGCCGTACGAGCTTAAAGGGTTAGCAATTATTTATATAACACTATTTAAAAAAAATCAATTGTTTAACAATCATACAATTAAATCTCGCCTACTCTCTAAAGAGAGTACAGAGTAGACTAAAAACTAGAGAGACATGATCGTAAAGTTAAGCCTCGCAGATATTAATTTGGAAGACTTCATTTTATGATTGTCTTAGCACAATTTATTAACCATAATAAAATGAATAGTGGGTATACAAATACCTACAAAATAAAATTTCGCTTAATTTCTTTTGTGAACGTTGGATATCGAATGAACTATTTGTTTTCTTTTTCTTGCATATAAATATCATGTTATAAATCACAGTATCGTATCGCAATGTTATGTTCCATTACAATTCAATATTACAAAACAGCCCGTGTGATTTATTCGCAAATAACTAAGTGTATTCTCTTATCGATCTCTCGGACAACCGTACACCTTCAGAATGTTAAAACGTTCCGAAAGGTCTTTTTTTATTTAACTTTCATTTTAATAATCAACGCGAAGTCGACTTGGCAAATCATATTTTGATGACAAAGAAATTGCCTCGATTAGTCTCAACTTGATCTGATCAGTTTTTAAGTTCACAGCTCTGAGTTCAGCCATTAGAGGGATATTATTATAATAAATTATTTTCGTTCTAGCGTTCGTAATGAGCTTTATTTTCTTGCATTTTGTGTTTTCCTTTTATGTCCACCAGGGAATTGTCCATGCAATCCGGTCCTCACATAAGACTAACGTCTACGAATTCGCAAAATATTCCCTAACTTAGTAAACTTTTTTGTAGACGTCGACATTATAATCAGGAGTAAAGGTGGACGAAGCAATTCGTTGCACTCCTTTGCTGACATTTTGAACGATGAGAGTCTTCGATCGAAAGGGGGGAACATACACACAAAAAGACGAATGCCATCTGAGCGTCTACTATTTCGTTAACAACTATTTTGACGTCTGCAGCAGTTCCATTACCTCATGAAAGTTTTACTCATGCCTACGAGTATATTTTAGTCATGTTAGATATCAAAGAACGTGAAGTTTCTGTATAAACTTTTCAGGACAATAGTTATAGAATAAATAAAAGTTATAGAAGAAATAAACATATCAGTCAATTGAGTGAATGATATTATATGCAGATACGAAATAGATATGATACTAGCGCACGAAAATTAAGGCACACAGTCACATTCACTTATATATATCATTTAATGTAAAGCGGAACAAAATTTAAAATCCGCGCAGTATGGACATGCATCCTCTATATTATGTATATGGATTAATAGACCTTCTTTCCTGCACAGTATTCAATTTTTTATAACGTACATCGTGTAATAAATGTTGTAGTGCACAAATGAAAAAATAGGAGAATAGTTTTGTATAATGATATTTAATTGTGGTAGGTAACTCATTACTCTTTGACTTCACTTAGATTAGACCAACATGATGTAGATATAAGAATAAAAAATATAATAAGTTGATTTTTTAATAACAAACAATATTACTCATGCGAACAATTTATGCGAATTAATGAAATTTACATAATAACTGCAGATGGAAGTGACGGAATGAACCAATTATATTGTTTAAAATTATGAATATAGGTGTATAAAATATTCTTATTATGTAAAAAGGAAATTTCTTATAATGAAAAAAGGTTATATTTCACTATGGTTAAAGTATTTATTTATTATGCTTTTTGTTTTTAAGGAGTGCAATAACTTATGGATATGGAACGAAAAACTCATGTTTTTATCTACTACGATGACATCGTAATATATGATAAATTTATGAAAAAAGTAGTGTATGCACCATCGTAGTTAAAAACCGTCGGATTCTGATAGAATGGTGTCCATTTTGCAAGACTTACGTGACGCAAGAGCAAGTGAGGCGCAGTAATACTCGTAAAATCGAATCGAACCCGCGAAGTCACATAAAACACGTTAAAGAGGCAGTTTATTGTAAACAGACTGCCGCGGTGCGTGCATCATCAGTTAGTGTTCGTCAAACGTTCACTCCATAACGGCTTTCGCGCAACGCCCAATCGGCGCTGGCCAATCGCGCGCCCAGGGTGAGGCAGGCACGCCTCTAACTTGCGCTTGCGACGATCGAATTATCCCAGTGTTGCCAGTGCCAGAGACACCCTCGACGTGCGCGCACGGGCCACTTATGACGCGATGACGTCCGTCAGCAGTGATGTGAACGCGACAAAGCTGAAGTTCAGTGTGGACAGCATATTGGGGAATAACGACGCCTCTCGTGCCGATGCGCAGCCGTCGGAGGCCCCGCGCAGCCAAGAACCCCCTTGTGCGGGGTGCGTAGCAGCCCTCTACCGCTGTTGCAGGGACGAACCGCCTCTGCTGCAACTCCCTCTCTCCGTTCCCTACGCACATTTGCACCCAGCGTTGAGGCCGACGACTGGTACGTTGCCGCAAAATTATATGCCGAATTGTACGTATTGAAATATGATTACTTATGTATGTAAGTATTTAGAAAATGAAGATGCTTTCTACTATAACAATATCAGTTCTATATCAATTACAAAATCTTCAACAAAAATCTTTAAACAAATATAGATATTTGTGGTAATTCACAAATATCTAAGTTTAATTAATTCAAGTTTGAGAAAGACAGTTTTTTTATGTCAATGCTACCTTCATAGGGTATCATCTATTGTCAACATTTTTGAAATCTTACATCTACGAAATAGTTAATTTAGAACAGAATTTAAAATAATTCATGCGCAAAACATGATGATTGTCATTGCTAATTATAGATGACTGGAAAGTTGAAACGAGCATTTTCATCTACTTGTGATAGGAGCTTAGGATGTCGGTGTAACACTTTTTCTACGGCAGCGGCGAAAACAACTTTTTACAGATGAGATAGAGATAGAGAGAGCTCAAAGCGATTCAAATTTCGTTTTGATTTTTCGTTTTCATTTAACCTTTGTTATGTTTTAACATCCTTTACTACGCATTGCAAACAATATGACGTTAGTCAACGTTGTATACATTTAAAACTATGTAAGTATATATTACAAAAAACGAGTCACACATTGGACAACAAGCACCTGGAACTGTTGACCGGCTACAAAGTAGCTTACACTTTAAAAGATTTAGTTAATCATTGCATAAATAAAAGGAGCGAGATCAAATATTGCTTCAATGTTGCAGATTTATACTTCTTAATTATTTCACGAGGTTCATAAACAAAAAGTAAACTTTGAAAAATCTCCTATTTACGCGTTTTACTTAAAATCGTTAACTCCATTCGCTTAGGTGTTAAATATATTTAATCATTTCTATGTACCCAAATCTAAACAAAAAATATAATATTTATTTAATGTTTTTTACTTAGAGGTAAAAAATAGTAGAGCATTATCAATAAATGTAGTTGTTTAATTCTAAAAAAAAAAAATGTAATTAAATAATATCTATAATTAATACCTAACCTAAAAAATTTGTAAACTGATGACAGCGATTTCATAATAGAAGTTGTTTTGTTTTCTGACCAATAGATGGCGCTGTCTCGTTCGTAAATCGCGATGTTGGGATTTTTTGTAATTAGCATAAGTCATCAGCATTTTTATGATTATACGCTTCTACCAAGCGAGTACGGTTGTTCTATTCTCACGTCCGTATTGGCTTCCGATAACTGGCTTGGACAATATACATGGTCCTAATCGAGTCGGAAGTATTTTTGAAATCGCACTAGAAACCAATGACGGATTGTCATTGAAGGTGTGCGCACCGTCGATTCTTGTGAATCGATTGGGTGATTGAGTGCAGTGCTCTACACATGTGCAAAAGTGTGTGTGTATCAGCCGCAATCAATCGAGGAGTCTGAAGCTAGAAGTGGAAGGCAGGTGGGCATCAGTGACGTCATAGCAGTACGTCACAACCTCTTCGCGTGGAGTACGAGGAAAGAGGAAGGAGAACCTGCAGCAACGGAGACATCATACGAGCTTGACGTGTGACGTCATTCTTCGGAGTAGTGTGGTTTGCAAGCAAAAACTGTGAGTACATTTTAGTGTTTAATCAGTGCAGTTTCAAGAATTAATGATTTGAATTGACAAAGGACTTAGATAAAATTTCAATAATTTTATACGGACTTAGAAAAATTAAGATAATTCGAAGTTTAAAAGAAACTTATGTATACGAGTGTTTAGTTAGTTATTAGATATTAACTTAGAATAATTTGCATAAACGTGATCCAACGGGGAACCTATGCCCAATTTTGGTTAGAATAATTAATTTTCCAAACACTTGTAAAATTTTAAGAATTTTATTAGGACTTAGAATAGTTTTCATAAAAGAGATCCAACGGGGAACCTATGCCCAATTTTGGTTTGATTAATTCTAAAACACTTGTAAAATTTTGAAAATTGTTTAAGCACTTAGAATATTTATCATATTTTGTTTTATAAAATTTCAAAATGTCGTTGTCTGCTCTAATAAAGAGTCAATTGAACTATAAGTCTATGATAGACAAGGCTTATGATAATTTTAAAAAATCGCCAAAGGATCGTTTGTGTAAAGAGTCTTATTTGCTGACGAGGTTAGATTCATTAAATGAAAAATGGCAGGTATTTGTTGAGACACATAAAAGAATTGCAGTAGAGTTTTCTGATCAATTGTTTGAAACAAGTTACTATAAGCAAAATGTTTATGAGAGTGTTGAGGAAACGCATATTGATTATAAGTCCGATATCAGAGAAGCCTTGTCATTGTTAAAGTCTCAATCAAATACTTCAAGTATACAGTCACATACAATTTCAAAGGCAGAGAATAATGTCAAACTGCCTAAGATTAGCATACCCATGTTTTCAGGATCATATACAGAATGGCCCACGTTTAGAGATTTATATGTTTCATTGATCCATAATAATTCTTCAATAGACGATGTGCAAAGGATGCATTATTTAAAAGGGCATCTTTACGGTGAAGCCGAACAGCTTTTAAGACATATACCTATTACAGCGGCTAATTATCTAGAATCTTGGTCTTTACTCAACAGTCGCTTTAATAATAAGAAATATTTAACAAATTGTCTATTGAAACGTTTTATGAATCAACCCAGCTTAAGTAACGAATCATGCAGTGCTATCAAAAATATGCTAGATGTTACCAATGACACTCTACATGGTTTAAAAAATTTGGGCATAAATGTGGACTCATGGGATGCAATGGTTATTTACGTAATTGGCACAAAATTGGATTCCGATTCGCGAAAATGTTGGGAATCCAAAATAAGTAACTCTGAGGAATTGCCAACGTTGAACCAATTACGAGAATTTTTAGAAACACGATTTCGGTCACTTGAATTTATGGACTCTAAATTAAAAGGTAAACAGAATATAACAACAAATCATAAACCGAAAGTGTTGCTCGCTATGAATTCCGGGTCTAATGCTGTAACTAAGCTTAGTTGTATATATTGCAAAAACGAGCATAAAATATCAAACTGCAAGGGATTTTCTGCAATCGATTACGATAATCGACATAACTTTGTACAAAGGAACGGTCTATGCTTTAACTGTTTGGGTCGTAATCATTCTGCCAATTCATGTCGTTCATTTATTAGATGTCGCATTTGCAAACATAAGCACCACTCATTGCTTCACCCAAAACCAACATCAGAAGTACAAAATATTGTATCACCCAAGCCAGATTTAGCGGTGGAAGTCAAATCAACGATGTCAAACGTAAAAGCATCGTTAGAGGAGCCTAAAAGGGTGTCAAATATAGTAGCAAGTTTCTCGCAACAACAGTACCTAACCAGATCCTGTTAGCTACCGCAATTGTTAAAGCTGAAGCGAGAAATGGTGAAGCTCATTTGCTCAGAGCCCTGCTAGATCAGGGTTCTCAAGCGTCGTTTGTCACCGAGTCCACAGCACAGTCACTTGGTCTAAGGAAGATAGCTAGAAGGAGTCACATATCGGGAGTGGGCGGCGATAAGAGGTCATTGACTTCTAGGCACATCGTTATGATGAAAATTCAATCGCGCTGTGATCCAAGCTTCCAAATCCAAGTGCGTGCGCATGTCTTAGGATCTATAACTAGCCTTCTTCCATCTGCGAAGATAGCCAGCGTGGACTGGCCAGAGCTAGCTAATATAACTCTAGCAGATCCTCAATTTCACACACCAAACAAAATAGATATTTTATTTGGTGCAGACGTATACGGTCAAATTATAAAGGAAGGGTTGATCAAGGGTCCTAATGGCACTCCAACAGCTCAGTGCACGGCTTTAGGATGGATCATATCTGGCCCCACACATAGAGTTGATAATGATCAATCTCTTTCGCCACATTGTCATCACAATGTTATCATAAGCATGCATTCTCAAGACAATGAAAATGAATTGCTGAAGAGATTTTGGCAAATCGAGTCCGATATATTCGAAGAAAATATACTAAATGAAGAAGAGAAACATTGTGAGGAGTTTTACAGCAAAACTACTCAGCGAGACTCAACAGGTCGGTACATAGTTAGACTTCCTTTCCGCGAGATCGATCCGCAATGTAAATATGGGAATTCGAGAGATATTGCACTCAAGCGATTTCATCTTCTTGAAAGGCGGTTCGAGAAGAACCCAGAAATGAAGGCAAGGTATTCCGAAGTAATTCATGAATACATGAAGCTTGGGCACATGGAACGCATAACAGGCAGTGATCTGAACAGAGCGGAGTCTGTTTATTTACCTCATCATGCCGTGGTCAAGGAAGACAAGACCACGACCAAGGTTAGGGTAGTATTTGACGCTTCATGTAAGGGAACAAATGGTGTGTCTCTTAACGATACATTGATGATCGGCCCCACGCTTCAACAAGACTTGCGCCATATCATTATACGGTGGCGTATGCATCCAATATGTCTCAGCGCAGACATTATCAAAATGTACCGTCAAGTTTTAGTCGCAAATCAGGATGCAGACTTCCAAAGATTAGTGTGGAGAGATGATACGTTCTCTGAAATAGAAGAATATAGGTTGTTGAGAGTTACATTTGGTACAGCAGCAGCACCCTATCTGGCAATAAAAACTTTACAGCAACTTGCAATTGATGAAGGAGCAGAATATCCAGATGTAGCTGATAAGGTCAAAACAGATTTTTATGTAGATGATCTGTTGACAGGTTGTCAAACAGTAGAAGAAGGAGAAAGAATTTATAGAGATATGAAGGAGTTATTGAAAAAAGGAGGATTTGAATTGCAGAAATGGGTTACAAATAACAAGCATTTAGCGCAGTTAGTGATAAATGGACAGAAAATCAGGAAGAGGAAGTTAATATAAGAATGAATGAGGCGGTTAAAGTACTGGGGCTTTCTTGGAGCAAGGAATCTGATAATTTTAATTACACAGTGCAAATTCCTGTTCTGCAATATCCGATCACCAAGAGGAAGGTAGTATCAAGCATC